AAAAGAAAGAGAAAGAGAAAGAAAAGAAAAGAAAAGAAAAGAAAAGAAAAGAAAAGAAAAGAAAAGAAAAGAAAAGAAAGAAAGAAAGAAAGAAAGAAAGAAAGAAAGAAAGAAAGAAAAAGAAACAAACCAGGGCTCTTGGAGAAATAGCTGGCCTAGGACTGGGGCAAGAAATGTGTAAGAGGAGCCTACAGCATCTTATAGTGCCAGAAAATCAAGAGATTCTAAAATAATAATAATAATAATGGTAGAGTATGTCAAAGGGACACAAGGGTCAATTTGAAAGATCTCCTAATATCTAAAACTAGAACAATTTTGTCGGCAAAATAAATAACATAGCATTGGATTATAACCAAAAGTACAAAATAAATATCCATGAGTCTATACTAATATAAATGGAAAAAAGATAAATATCCTGTACAGAAGAATTCCAACTCATTTATGAAGATACTCCTCCTCCCTCTTCAAAGAAGTAGAGCTTAACTCCCATCCTTGATCTTGGGCTTTGCTTAGTTACTTGCTTCCAATGAGAACAGTATGAAAGAGCAGGGCGAGAGATGAAGAAGCTCAAGAGACAAGAAGACTAAATGTAATGTGGCATCCTGGATGACATTCTGGGACAGAAAACTCATATTAGAGATAAACAAATGAAATGTGAATGTGGGATGTATTGAATAGTAATGGGTCAATGTTAGTTTCTTAGTTGTGGCAAACGTGCCACAGTAACGTAAGATGTTAACAGCAGGGTACAATAAATGTAGGGTATTCAGGAATTCTATATGCCTTTTCTGTAAACCTAAAACTACTCTTAAATTTAAGTATATTTAAAAAACTAGTTATGAACTAATATTATATTCTGAGTCTACTCCCTTACTGATAAAAATAAAGGCCATCATGTCCATCTTTCATAAATTATGAAAATCAGCAACATTGTGTATCTGTGATAAACTATGAGCCTAGAGTGAGAAAAAAAATCCATGAAGACTCTCTCCATGAGCAAAACAAAATGATGAAAGAAATCATTTTGATCCATAATGTTAATCATAAATTAAAATTTTATAAACTATCTTATATTTCATAAGATTATATTTAAAGTCACAGGTCTATATCTGTATACATTTTAAAAATCAAATTAATACACTTGACTACCAAACGTTTCAATAGCAATAAAGGGATAAATGAATTAATGCAATTATTAATTTACCATTAATTGCATCCTTTATGTATATATTTATCGTCAACCTTCCTTCCCAATTACTGACACTAAAAACAACAAATAAAAGCAAAACAGAAGGTGTACAGTAAGTTCTCTTAATGATTGTTAAATCAGATCCTGAATACAAAATTCTTTTTCCCATTTCAAAAAAATTGTAGGCCCTCTATAATAATAATTTTTTAATCTCTGGACCTTTTGATACTGTTTTAGAAAATAATTTGAAATCAAAATGTTCCTGATTATAACTTCACATTCTGAGGATTTTCCAAGCTTATATGAAGCTAGTTTAACAATTAGAGAACCACAATTAATTTTAAAGAGATTTCTCAAAGAACTTAAAACAGAATGACCATTTGACCCAGCAATCCCATTACTGGTTATATATTCAAAAGAAAACAAATCATTCTACAAAAAAAGACATATTCACTCATATTTTCATTGAAGCACTGTTCACAATAGTAAAAACATGGAATCAATCTAGGTGCCCATCAATGGTGGACTGGAGAAAAAAAATGTTATACATATACACCATGGAATACTATGCAGCCATAAAAAGGAA